CACTGCTCTTGCAGAAGACCCGGGTTTGCCTCCCAGCACCCACATGGCAGCTAACAACTGTCCGTAACTCCAGTTCCAGGAGATCCGACAGCCTCTTCTGTCCTCCTTGGGCACTGCATGACACGGGTGCACTTACCTACATGCAGACATAACACTCACATAAAATAACAAATTAAAAAAAAAAAAACAATAAAATTGTGTTGATTTTTTTGCCTACTTGTTGGTAAATATGTTTTGAGACAGTTTCACTATGCAGTGCAAATTGGCCTGGAACAGGAGTTCCTCCTACCTCAGCTCCTGAGTGCCAAGATCACCGGTGTGATAATAAAAGCATCCTAACGGCACTCTAGGAAACAGTGTAATTGTATCATGTGGGAAATGGAGAGATCCTTTATAATCTTCCAGCCTTTCTAGTTCTGAAACTGGGTCTCCTCTGTAAATGACATTAAAGTAAGAGAAGACTGGGCTGTGTGACTTCGGACCTACATTTAGGTCTGCAGGACAGCTAAGATGGTAGACAGAACCCCTCACCCTGCCCATCATGCAGACACCAAGATACTGACAAATCAATCACTATGACACAAGTCACGGAACATGACTTGACACAGATCTCACCAGTGACCACTACTTACTCCCGTCCTGTCCAGATCCCACACACATTCGTGTACCTAGTCTCCTCAACCACCTCCAGCTGGGAGCCTATGGGCTCCCCTCATCACTCATACCTTGGAGGAGTAAGGATGGGAACAGCAGAGTGCCCCGGAATTGACTTACTAGTGTTATGGGAGTAGTGACTTTACATATTCATCCTGGGCACTGCTAACATCAGCCAAGGGCAGACGTGGAAGGCATCTTGCCTGTCATTTCTGTCCCCAAAGCATAAGCACTCAGGATTCTGTTCTGTTCTTGGCAACACCACAGCTCAGTCAAGTTCTATGGAATGTTAATAATCTCTCAACAGTTCAATGGGAATGTTAACTGAAACAAGTCCTCTGGAACTTTAAATTTAAGGCAGGGAAAATATAGTGGGTTTTGGAGGAAAAAAAAAATATGACATAGCCTGTTTCTGGGGGGAAAAAAATGTTAAAGAGCTAGCCATTCAATACAGCCAACTCCAGAACAAACCAATTGTGTTAACTGCTGGTTAGTGTAAGTTTCATGGCAAAGTTTCTGGAGAAGGGACTGTCTGAGCAGCACTTTGTTTTAATAATGGGTGCTACGTAGCCTCTGGGAACACCTTCACAGAAGGGCCAGAGACCACCAAAGACTGACGGATATCAAAGGAATTTATGAGAAATCTTAGACTAAGGCCATGAATTCCTGGTTGAGCTATTTAAGAAGTCAAATAAATACTACTTGGCTTACAAAATTACAGTGATTCCCTTTTCATAAAAAGTACATGCAAGATGATCCAGCAGTAAAAGTGCTTAGTGCCAAACCTCACAACTTGAGTTCAATCCCTTTGTCCCACATGATGGGAGGAGAGAATTCCCACAAGTTGTCCAGTCACTTCCACACATATTCTGTGGTGCATGGACATGCATGTGTGCACACCCACACAATAAAAAGATGTAAAAGTTTAGGAGAACCTGGTTTATGAGGACGGGAGTCCGCTGCATCTGTGGTTACATCAAAACCAGAGACACTGGAAGGTCTAAAATGCACACCTGCTCTTTGCTTCCCATAACCCTTAAGTCCGTCAACCGTTCTTGCCATGGAAGCCCTGACCAGAGTAGGTGCGGACTGACTCTGCTCAACCCAAATCCTGGTCTGGGCTGTGCAAGGTGTAGCTCAAGACCACAGAAAAAAGCATGCTAGGACAGTCCAGGGCAAAAGAGACCAAAGGAGTGGAGCTGGGGAAGGTCTGGAGGTGGGGAAGGCCTGGAGAGCCTTGTGTGTAGGAGGGCCCAATGCAGCAACAGAGCAGGCATTCCCAATGAGGCCCAATCCCTTATCTTCTCAGTCACAGTTAACCCTCTCTTCATGCCTTTGTCACAAGTTACTCTCCCTGAGCTCTTCAATTTTATTAATCTTTTAAGTTGCTGTCATTTTTCATTCTTTCATCTAAATAAGGTTTACTAAATATACTATGTATTTGGATCTATGAAACCCAGCATGTGACGTGGAGAATGCCCGACATGATATGGACCCTCATGGGTCTTTAAAACAATGTAAGCAAGCTGAGTGTAGTGGTGCCTTTAATCCCAGTACTCGGGAGGCCGAGGTGGATCTCTGTGAGTTCAAGGCCAGCCTGGTCTCCATAGTGAGTTCCAGGCCAGCTGGGGCTACAGGGAGACTATCTCAAAAACAAAAATAACCCATAAGGTTAACAGTAGGCATGGCAGTGAGTGCCTTGAAATCCCAGTCCCAGGAAAGCAAAAGCAGCGGCTCTCTAGGAGACAGAGGGCAGGCTGTTTCATATAATGACTTTCAGGCAGGTTGGGACTAGGGAGACCCTGTCAGAAAAACAAACAAACAAAAACACAAGGTAGTAGGACAAATGCAAATAAGCACATAACTGCAAAATTACAAATTCAAGGCCAGGTGTGTAATGGTGAGCACCTTTAATTCCAGCACTCAGGAGACAGATGTAGGGTGATCTCTGTAAGTTCAAGGCTGGCTGCGGCTACAGAGCAAGACGGAGGGAAGGAGGGAGGGAAGAAGGGAGGAGTAGGGGAGGGTGAGGGGATTACCAATTCAGAGAGAAATATGAGTACATGTATAGACCTGATGCTGCTCAGGATTCAAGATAGAAGAGATGTTTCCCACCTCTGCTAGGGTGGAGAGAGGAGGGAGGCCAGAGTAAGAGAATTTGCAAAAGCCAGGTCTGGACAGGCTCCACTGAGCATCCACAGATACCTGCTCCACTATGGCCACACCCACACCCCACAGTCTGTACCCAGTCACTGTTTTAGACACCCAAAGACAGGAGTCACACTCTTGTGATAACTTTACATACATAAAGGTGTGAGGAGACAGCAGTTCTTCAGAGGTCACCAAGGTCTCATTATTTGAGAGTCACTGATGGATAGGACGCATGTATACAGTCACCAAGGGAGCTTGGGCAGAATACAAGCTGTGGCCCTCCTACTCCTGGGCCTCCCCTGAGACTGGGATCAGACGACTCTGCCTATGCCTTTGAGGTTTTCACACTGAACAATCCAGTCTGTTTTCCTACTCTGGAAGTATAGCCAGTCTCCATCTGCCAACATGCCCAAGACACACAAGTGTCATTCCCTAGTTCCCCCACTTAACTGGACTGCACCTCAGCCCTCGAAGCTCTACACTCTACCTGCGCAATCCGTGCCAGATTGCTGCATCACTGCCGTGGACGGCGGGAGGAATGATGTCTCTGCACTTGTACTCTCAGTCCCAGCCACACTTAGGGGGTGGGCTCTGTGACAGAGGAGCTGGAATGGGCTGGAGTCCCACAACCTGCTCTAGAATTTCATTAGTAGAGCAGAAACTCGAATGAAAATCTGAAGAGAGAAACAGCAGGCCCAGCACCAGGAAGGGCATGTGTTCCACCACTCCCTTGACGTGTCTTACCAAGCTTCTGGAAGGCTTGCATGTTAAAACAGACAGCCCTGATGTTTCCCCCATGATTTCATCTACAAGTCCTGTGAAGAAGTATGTTGTTACCCCCTCCCCAGGCTGGGGGTGGTGGGGGTGATGGTGATAGGCTCATAATCCCACAGTGATGGACCTGAGAGTGGGCAGTATGTGGACGTAGGACTGTATTGCAGACTGTACTTCACAGACTGCACCCACACCTAACCTACCAGCCCACAGGCCAGGGCTGACCGCATTCAGAAAGAAGAGAAGAGCTCTGCTGGCTAACCAACCAACCAACCAACCAACCTGTGCCAACCAGTCCCAGTCAAACAATGAAGGGGTGGCACTTGGCCTCTCACCATGGGTGGAAGTGGGTGCTAAAAAGTCATTGGGTTCACCTTCTGTAGGGGGCTCTGAGGCTACATGCACACAGACTCACACTATGACACACCAATACTACATGTCGGAAGCTGGCATATCCGCTTTACAGATGTGGAAACTGAAAGAGATTCAGTAACTTGTCAAAGTCACAGGTGACTTATGCTGAAGCTAGGGCCCTCACCTGGCAGCTTGGCTTTGGGGCCAAGTTTTTGCCCTAGCATGCTATCTTCCCTCATATACATACATGTCTTAACCTACGCAGGCCTCAGGGAGTGGATGTAGAGTAAGCCCTTTGAAATAATTTGAAATAAATGCAGCAATAGCTATTGTTTATCAATTGCTACCTGAGAGGTACTGTGGTAAAACTACATGTATTTAATGGTTACATGTTACACCATCCCTACAAAATAGTTTCTTCTTTGTGGGAATAAGAAATTATGTCCCACACGGCACAGCTGGCAAATGGGACCCATTTTGAGCCCAAACTGTGTGTTCTCCCAGTGGATTTGATGTCTGGGTGGGTGTTCTGGGTTGGCTGGGAAACCACACTCCAGCGTTCTTTTCTGTCTCCAATGCCAGCTCTGCTGGAGCAGGAACTATACGGAAGGCACGGCCAAAGGCACCAAGGGAAAAGTGCCCTCACGGAACCAGGAGACTGACCATCAACATGACACACACAGAGTGCTGCCTCACACACAGGGTGCAGTGATATATACGCACACACAGCATTCTTGAGTCAGCGTACGTCTTTAAACAGTATTCCTTTTCTTCTGAGAACTTAGGACTTAGGTGAGAGGTACACAGTGTGAATATTTCATTTTTTAGTTTGTACTTAGGTGATTATGACATAGTTAAGAAGTAAATTCATAGTTTTATGGAAGAAATCTGAATCTATAACAATGTACTTGCTGTTAACATGCCTGAAGAACTGTCAGCTTTTGACACTGCAGCTTTTCTGTGTAGGGGAGAAAAGTACATCGTATTGCTTTCTCAGAAGCAGCTTTTCAAAGGGAATGATTTATTAGCATAGTTTCATTGATTACGGTAATGGAGGCTCTAATTACCTTGACAGAATCCAGTAAACTCTTAGGAAAAAATCGCTTTAAACCAACATCTTTTCTGAAATATAAAAAGAAGCATATTAACAAATAGCACCACTACATCAATTAGTGACAATACTTACGAGAACATAAACAACTTTAGATGACCCCTCTACCTGTTCAGGAAAGAACTACTACAACAGCACTTTGGCTGACCAGCATGTTCACAGAAGGGGTGAGATAAATTATTTCCTAGCTATGTATAAAAACATAAGTACAATTAATGACAGCAGAAATCTTTGTTTTCTCCCTTATTGTCAAGAGCTCTTCTAAATACTGTTTCTGTAAATCATGATGTGTGAGAACAGTAAAAAATCTCAGATGTTGCATAGAGATAAATTATCCTTATACACATTAGTTCCAACTAAGTATCTCAGAGAAAGCAAACGGCCTAATTAAGAATCATTAAGAAGCCAAGTGTGGTGGCACACACCTTTAATCCCAGCACTTGGATCTCTGTGAGATCGGGGCCAGGCTGGTTTACACAGAGTGTTCCAGGCCAACTATGGCTGCAGGGAGACCCTGTCTCAAACAAACAAAACTAAAAAGATTAAGGGTCTACCTTGGAAAGCAGGTCTAGTCCTTAAAAATAGACCCTTTAGACATATCCAAAATGGTGGCTGTTTTTTTCAAGATATTTTAGGAACTCATTTGCCTAATCAAATTTATCTCCTCTGTGTCACAGAAAAAAAAGAAAACAAGTAATTTGTCTTGGTCAAAAAGCTGAAAATATAAAAATATCAGAAATATCAGCGATTACCAAGTCAGACTATAAAACCAAACTAGCGAAAAGAGCTTCAAAACACCTGGTGGAGATACAGATATGAAAGAGCTACTAATGCCTGCTTTAAAATTGTAATGCCTACTTAGTTAACCAGTTTAGACCACTAGATGGCACTTGTGTTCCAGGAAGGCAAAATGATGCCTTTGAAAAAGGGGCTGGGAAACACAGAGGGTCAAGGAGAAGAGAGAAGTGCAGTGCCCTTTTTAGAGTCACAGACATGAAGTATCAAAAAACAAAAAGTGGGGGAGTTGTTTCATAACTGACAACCAAAACCACAGAAATCATGTCAGTTTATATGGCTGATTCTACATCCAGACGTCTTAATACTTAACCCACATCAACAGGCAGCACCTAACCAAACAGCTCCTTACTAAACAAACTGACCTCTCTTCTGCTTGTCACTGCTTCGTGACAGTACTACATCCAAACCACTTTCTTGTTTCTACGAGTGCTGTTTTCTGGTTTTAGTTCACCTGCCAGTGACCTGGTGTGGCCCTGATGTGGCATTTCTCTGGTCACTTTACATCCTCTTCTTTCCCCTTTCAGAACTGTTACTATCTAGCATCACTGGACATGAAGAGGAAGATGTCTACTTAAGTCCTTCCTTTTAGTGTTTCCTATTTAAAAACAACATGGTCTGCTTGAGCCAGACAGCTGGCCTGGAACTCACTATGTAGATCAGGTTGGCCCTGAACGCACAGAGACCCACCTGCCCCTGCCTCCTGAGTGTTGGTGTTTAAGGCATGCACACCACACCCAGTGTGGTCTTCTCACAAATCCTGATGTGCAACACTACTGGGAAAGCAGAAACATAAGGAGTGTGCATGAAAGAGAAGCCAACAACACACAAAGGCCACGGTACTTCCCAGCACCTTGCTACCATTCTTCTCAGCCAGGAGTTCCTAAGAGAAAGCGCCCAGGTTCACAACAAAGTTCTGGGTCTGAATCTGAGTGCACAGAACAAGCCATGTCTGAGTACCTGTGACCTGTGACCTGCAACCTGCTGTGAGGAAGTAAGAATGTGTTTAATGTATTAATAATAAGTCGCAGGACTCTGAGGGCAGTTTCCTTTCCTGTGAAAGCACCTTGGAGAGCTCTGGCCCCCTGTATCTGTTTGGTGTAGAAAGTGTGACCTGCAAAGGTTGGTGGTTAGAGGGTGTTGGCTAAGGCAGAGCTGATGGGAAGTGGTATGACCCAGGAGACTCTGGACACAGCCAGCAGGGCTGAGTACCTGGATAGATGGCAAGGGGATGGTGGAGATTCCTGAGAGCTGACATCCTACCCAGGTAAGGAAGGAAGATAGTCCATTCTGAATACGTCAAGCTGAGTATGGAAAGAAAGCCCAGTGCAGGGCTGGTCTATGCCTCCAGTGGTTACATATTGGTATTTCTCAAAGACAAGAACTCATCACAAATGGGAAAATTAAAGAGAGATAAAAAGGGTTACATTTTGTATATAAAAATAATCATTGTATTAAAGTAATACTAGTATCACTTTTACTTTCAAAGTGAAGACAATTCCATTCTCTTAAAAATATTTTAGCAACTGAGTGTGTGTTTGTATATGTGTGCACATACAGTGTGCATCCATGTGACACAGTATGTAGAAGTCAGAGGACAACATGCCAGAGTCGGTTGTCTCCTTCCACCAAGTGGGTCCCAGGGATTGAAATGAGGTCGTCAAGCATGGTGGCAAGCACCTTCACCCACTGGGCCACTTCTAGGCTCTTCCTCCACTCTTCAAACACTGAAAAGTCTAAAGTCAATGCTTAGCATGTATTCAGTTATTTTCTCAACTACTTTTGAGTAGTAATGAATTTAATACAACTTATTTGTATGTTTGGGAATAAAATGAAAATGAAACCGAAGTCCACCAGACCGTGGGAGAACTCCAGCAGCATTGCCTCCAACATGGGGGAGCCAGCTGGCCTCTGGCTCTGCAGCACAGCCACCCGAGAAGCACCACAGTCTTCAAAGTTTGAGGAGAGGCTATTATAGGAACTCAAATCTAAACCTCTCCCAGGAAACCAGGCAGGGACATGTAGGTCACCCCACTCTCGACAGGGAGGTCACCTCACTCTGGATAGGCAGCCAGCACTGTCTGGGCTGCGTCTGGGCCTGGTTCAGCATTAACAAACTGTTCTACAGGGGCTTCACCTCATGCCGCATAAAATCTGTGCCCAACCTCTACATAACTGTCTCATATTAAGTAAAACACAACATAAATAGAACTACTGGTTTTTACATAACTCTTTTCTACATTACTAGCTGCCAAAGTGTTTCCTGAATGCATTTAAACATATCTGATTTGAAACACCCTCCGTCCCTCCCTCTTTCCCTCTCTCTCTCTCCCTCTCTCTCACAGGAAGCCTTGAGATGCTGCCAAACTCCAATTCCCCAGGCCAAACACTGGTTTACTCGGTTCCTTCATTGCTCCCGTGTAACCATGGAGGCCACACACACAAGACAGGCCAGTAACACCAGGCTAAAACTGCTGTGTCCCACACTGTATGTAATTACTTAAACTAAAAGTTCTGGTCCTGGTGACACTGGCTCCATAACCAGGGCTCAGAAGCCCTACATGACTCATGGCTACTCAAGTAGACAGGGCAGACCCACCTCCAGGCATGTTCTCACCACCCTTAGGAGACAAAACCAAGGCACATGGCTGTGTCCAAGGCATGGAAATCCTGACCCCAGGATCTTCAGCAGCCCGCCAGCCCAGGGCTTGGTGTAGGGGCTTGAAGGCTCCTTAGGAAGGGCAGGGGTAGCTATGGATGGACTGGGTACGGAGACACAGCCACCATGGGGCAACCACAAAGGCTCCCAGGCTCCTTGAGCACGGGAAGCAGGCTTGGTGGCTGAAGTGTGACCACACTGTGATGAAGAACAGTGAGGCAGACAGTCCAGACAGAGCTGTCTTCAGCCAGGAGCCTGCGGCTGGGAGATGACAGGCACGCGGCAGGGAGCTCCGGAGTGCTTTCCCTGTGTCCTGCTGAGTAGAGGGGCAGGTCCTTCGTGCTCTCTACATTTCAGGTCACTTCTACTCAAGCCACAGGGGAACCTTTGCTCACCTGGGTTCTTCTCAGTAATGTCTAACAAGCTTATTACATGTCAGACCACAGAGGAGAAAAACTAGGGTGATGCACCTCTTCATGGAGGGGATTCTGTTTTAAAGATTTCTTTGGTATTTTTGAGACACTGTCTCATTATATGTAGCCCAGGCTAGCCTCACATTCATGTTCTTTTGGCATCCGCCTTCCAAGTGCTGCAAAGAGAATTGTGTCTGACCTATACTTTCTCTATTCCCAAGTGACATCCTCAATGGGCCGTAGGGTGAGGTAACAAGTGCTCCAAACCAACCAACCGAGCACTTGAGATACAGATGTCGAACTGGAGCTCTCGTGACTGACACTAACTGTGTCTGCTAAGGGAAGTACTCGGAGAACACACGGTTATTTTCTCTCTCCCTTTGTCACCCTTGAAACCCTTCCAACCCTGCTCTGATTCCACTGCCGTTCAGCGGCTTGTTCACGCTGGGATAGCTATCCTTCATGTTCCCTGCTCAATGCCTGCCCCATGGACACCAGAAGAAACACACAAGCAGCACAGGAGGGCTTCGTTCCACTCACATGCACCATCAGTGCACCCGGAGCTTACTTTGCTATCCGGAGCCTGGTCCTCACCCTGCACAAGTGCTTATGTCCACAAACCACAGCACAGCAGGCTCTTTGAGACCTCAGACTGAGCTAAGCATCACTTACATAGTAAAAGAGGACCAGACATGTAAGTGATCCTAAACCAAAGTTAAATCTGCTTTGCTTTGGGAAGTACTTCTGAGAAGACCCACCTTGTCTGGTGACCTCAATGTTTATGCAGTATTGTGTGCCCCACCCCACTCCACCCTCAGCTAAATTTAAAAACAAACTTTTTTGAGATACTCTGCTAAGCACGCAGATCATTGTGTTGATATAGCTCACATTCTGCTATGGAAAATAAACTATACAAACAACTACAGCAAAAATACACTTCATGAAAAGATGACTGAAGGGCTAAAGAGTTGGCTCAGTGGTTAAAAGTACTGGCTGCTCTTGCAGAAGACACAGGTTTGATTCCTAGACCCTCATGGTGACTAACAACCATCCTAACTTCAGTTCCAGAGGATCCAACACCCTCTCTGACCTCTGCAGGCACTGCAGGACACTGGTACACTTACACACACACAGGCAATACACT